CAGGCCCGACGACACCCTGACGACACACGATGTCAGAACGAAGTCAGAAGGAAGTCAGACGATGTCAGGCCATCGCTACGGGCAGGCTCTCCTTTCAACAATCTCGGAGATTGCACTTCCTCCCATTCCTTTTTCTCAACACACGCCCACGTGTTTCGCAGATGCACGCGAAAGGGTGCCCTTCTTTCCTTTCCTCCCCTATCTTTTTTCCATTCAAACCCGGCCGAATGTTACAAACCTACAGCGGACACACCGCCCCCCTAACCTATACTTACAGCGGACACAGCGCCACCTAACCACAACTGCGGTCTCTCACAGCCATCTATAGATCGAATTCGCCTGCAGCGGGTACACCGCCCAACAAACGCTTTTCACCCTGTTCATATAGGGCTCTCTGTCTGTATCTGTATGTGTGTGCGTAATGATGTTCACGTCTATAGAATTTCTTATATGTTAGCAACAGCCCACAAAAAGCTAACTACAGAATGGAATATCTTATGAAACTTTGCCCACTCAACTAACCCTCAGCAATTTCATATCAAGGGGCTGTAATGTTGACATTACGCTGTAGACTGCTGATTCCAGCGTTTCAATCAAATCCACACACAAAAACCTTAAACAATTCAACTTTTTCATGACATTTTTAAGAAAACCATATATTTGAAAAATTAGGTTTTTGTAAGTAGGCTAAGTGCGCGCCTAAGTAGAATAACTAGGTTTTCGCTTCCGTACTATTCCGACTTATAACTGACTTATAAATGACTTATAAATTTTGTATATACACTGTATCTAGCGTAAGTCTGGCCGAATACTTATGGACAGTTAACCCATTTACCATCACATACAACCTTACATATCCACACATACAACCTTACATATCCAAACATATATCTACGATATGTAAGGCGGACCTTGTGGTAATGGTACTTGCTAGCTCCTTCGAGCACAATGCGATCCATCGCTGCGTAACCTGTTGAGCCGCCACCGAGAACAAGGTCTTTGATTTCTTGCAAACGGTGCAATTGACCGGCATATCGGCCGTCCGGGTGCCAACCCTCGGATTCGGCTGCGAAGGGAATCGTGAAATCGATTTCTGCTGTGACCTCTTCGCGCTCGTGCTCACCCAGCGGTGCCGGAATATCGGCATCTGGGACTGTTGAACAGAGATAAATGCTATTGCATGAGTCATTGCATGAGCAATGGTTGCTGACATCATGATGGCAGTCTAGGCGTGTTCCGTGACTACATGCTCTGCAGGAGAAAAGTACGTCAGGGCTGGAGCAGGTAAGGCAGGTCATCTTCTCTGGACGGTGGAAGTACTTCGTTGGAGTACTCTGTGCCTTCCTTGCGTCGCTGATGACCTCCCGCGCCCGGGAGGTTGCACGCTTCTTGGGCTTTGCTGAACTTCGTTTCCGGAATATCGGAAAACGAAACTCTGCGGCCTCCAGATGGCGTGCGGGTCATCCCCGGTGTATGGTCAGCCTTCTTAAGGACAGTGCGAGTTGGAGTGCGTGACCTTGCCCGGGAGGACCAAACCCTTGTACTTGATACTTCTTCTTTCTTGACTGCTGACGATGATGAGGCTGCGGCTGAAGGATCGTCCGGCATATCGGACTCTTCCTTTTTCACAGTGCCTTTCTTGACCCAGGTTCCTTTCTGGCGTGCTTCTGCGAGGTCGTCCACCATGGCTTCATCTAATGTACATATGACCTGAACATCATCATCGTCGTCTGCCGGAATGTCGGCATCGACCTCCATGTCGTCGTCATCATTGACATCAATCAGGTCATCTCCCTCTTCCTCAGTCGTTTCCGACAATGAGCGTTTCTTGAGACGACGCATGTTGGTGGCTTCATCCTTCCAGTCGTCGTCGAGGGAGAGAAAATTCAGCCATGTCTCAGTGTGGATCTTGGACACGCCGTGGAGCTGATGGCGATCAAGTTTCTCCTCGGCCTCATTGCGCCATGCCTCGACCTCGCGAATCTTAATATTCTTAAATGCAAGCCTCCTTGTCTCAATCTTGAACTTATCGTGGCCCTTGCCTACCAGCCTCAGTACCTCGCAATAGAGCTGTGAATAGAAACGCAAGTACGGCTCATCGGGGACTGACATGGCTGGAGTGGAGTCTGGGACATCCCACAGCTTAGTTGACAAACAGCAATTGTTTCGGATATCCCATGCAAGGCTGAAAAGACCGGCCGGAATAACGGCCTTGGTCAAAAAGTATCCATTCTTGCTCAGGCTGAAGTCTTCCATGAGCTCTGGATGCTTTTCCAGCATTGTCTTAGACAGGACGAGTGCCACATTGGCCGTTGGTCGAATGTGTTCATAGGAGACCAAAAGTCCGTCGATCGGCAGGAAGTGGTTCATGTTACGTTGCTTATTACCGGCAGTGTTGCCGCCTCCAGTAAGGAGGCCATACTGCTGAATCGAGCGAACGTGGCGATACTCGGTCATGTGAACCAGCGTGTCCGGCATATCGGAGAGCTGGCACTTCGGGATCTTTAGGCCTGAAATCGGAGCTTCGGCTCCTCCCGAATGGCTGGAAACGGCTTGCGCAAAAACATGAGCGGCCCTGAATTGCTTGTACAACTGAGAAGGCTCTTTTCGATCCTCGGCCGTCATACCGGCTGGATGGATCCATTCACTACCTAAAGGCCGGTTCCTACTTAATCTACATCAAGTAACTTAGCGCTACTTAACCTACTTAGAACCTACTTATGTTGAATTAAAATACAATACAAAAATGACTGATTCTTAAGTAGGTTACAAGTAACTTATAAGTAGAAATAAGAAGAACTAAGTAGAAATAAGTAGAACTGGTTTGAAATGTTTGTTTTTTCAAGTTTTTATGAGAACTACACGTAACAGTATGATTTTATAACGTTTTTAAATAAAAAACTAAAAATTGAGCCAAAAAACTATAGCGGACACACCGCTGAAGAATGTGTTTCATTCTCATATGAACCAAAAGCTTGCGCTCAAGTGATACCATCTGTTCTGCTGATACCATCTGATACGCCTCTGGTTGGGACTCAATCCATCGCCAATGCTTCAAACACTTCCGTCAAAACACTCTCCACTTCTGGGATGAGTTGGGGCACCATGTGGCTCCAGTTGGGAAGCCAGGATTCCAACATCTTCAGCTCTTTGCGCAAATAGAACCGCTGGTAGTAGTTCAACTTTTTCAGAACTTCGAAGCCCATCACCTGGCTTTTCACTCCCATCGACTCCACCGTAATGTCATGGCCAGCGAGACCATTGAGCTGACACTGCGCAGCTGTGATCGAGCACCACAGGAGTCCAATGCAAGCTGTGTGGGGTCCAAGCCCAACATGGATGCATAAGTTCCTGCAACCTTCTCGTGACATCTCCAGCTCATCCAATCTGGACTCATCAGTCAAAGTAGCAACATGGGCAGCAATTTGCCCAGCAAAAAGGAGCAGCGCTTCCATGGTGCGTGAGCACAGCAACCAAGTTGAATCCTGTTGATGCACAAAATCTTGCGAGATCAGGACGACCATATAGTTCTGCGGTCATTTTCAGCGGACACACCGCTTTATGTTTGGGAAGCGGGAACTCCGCTTGTTTTGTGAGCAGAACAATGACAAAAAACAAATACTACATGCACTGGATCACATCTTCGCTCTCCGGTTCCTTTTGGTCACCGCAAACACACGACATGTCTTTGGTCTTCGGAATACTTCCACCACGATGGGACTGCTGGAGGTGCTTGAGGTTTCACTTCCAGTACAATCTCCTCATTGTCGTCAGTCAATTTCCAAACGGTTCCCCAGGTGGTGTCTCGTACCTTGTCGGGAGGAGGGTGAGTTTCGGTGAGCAAGCCCATTTTATACAGATGATATATTTATATATAAATACACATACATACATCATATAGATATAGTGACATGGAAATTGCGAGATATGTACTTTCAATAAACCGCAGAATCAAAGGCACCAAGGCACGAAGTCGAGTTTCAAGCAGCGCAGGTAGAAACCAGTTGCGGGATCATAGAACCACGATTGCACAACACCAGCCGTGTATTGCCAAAGGACAATGTCGGTCTTTGAGACCACGCCGCTGGTCAAGTAGCAGCCTGGAGTACCACCGAAACGAATGATAAGCGGGGACACCGCTGCAAGATATATGGTATACATGCGTATAGGAGCGGGTACACCGCTTTTTATTGTCTAACCTAAAGGAGATCAACGCAAAGTGCAACTAAAGTTAGAAGGAAAATGTACGACCAACTAGTCGAGGAGCTTTCACTGGTTGTCAAGTTCAAGGTTACAAAGGCCAGTTTGTCGTCCAGACTAGCGTCGTGGATGGGTGGCATCAGTTGCCAAAACGGTAGTCCCTTGTCTTGCAAGAGCTTCAAATTCTTTTGAAGGAGCCGCTGAAGAACAGAAGAACTAAACTGAGCAAAGTCTTTGCAGGTGCTCCTCTGATTCTGCGCAACACCCGATTTGTATTGCTTGTGCTTGCTCTCCAAGCACTCACAACTCAAAAAGATACCTGTTTTGAGATATTGCTCCGGTAAGTGAAATCTTATGTGATGCTTGGGCTTGATGCTGTCTGGGTATGCTTGGACGAATGCCTGTTGATGCTGGCGCTGTAGCTCATCCAAGTGCTTTGCTTCCCGTTCGGAAATCTTTTCCATACGGTTGTTCAGATAACGAATAAAGGCAACACAGTTGGCAAGACGGCTGAATGACGAGACCACCTCTGTTGGAAGTTGAGTGCTTGGCCGAAATACTTCCTCCAGATAGTATCGCAACAAAGGTACAATGGCAGCTGTTTGATGCGCTTGACCCTTGTACAGACTGTCCCCAAACAAGCGCTCGTGCCACAAAGCTGGCAGGTAGCTAGGCCGGTTTTTGCCGGATGCTGCAGTGCCACGCCATCCAGCCTCCTTAGCGGCGATCCCCAACACTTCTCTGGTGATATCCGTGCCAGTGCAAATTTTCTCCATGAGCAACCCTACCTCCCACGATGCGACTCCATTGCACAGGTAGCAATGCATAAAGTCGAAGAGGATGTGGGACGGTGGCATGTGGACCCTCGAATCTGGCTGGAACAGCAGAGAGCGTTATGACGTAAAATAGCAGATAAGACAGGGGCCTCTTAAGCTCGCTTAAAGCTCGCCCAAAACTCGTTTTCAAGCTCGCTTAAAACTCGCTTGCGCTGTGCTGATGTCCAATGGAAGCCCAAGAGTCAACAGGAAAGTCCAAAGCAAATTCAACTGATCATTCAAAAGTTCAAGCAAAACTCAGGGAAAGTCCAATTAAAGCTCGGGCAAAAGTAGTTTCCCGTGGCGTGAGCGTCGTGGTGAGTTCGGCGCTAGTTTATTTCGAGCTAAGCTCGCAGAAAGCTCGTGAAAAGCTCGTGCACATGCAGTTTTTGAGCTTCGATTCGAGCTTTTGTCTAGTTTTCTTCTACCAAAGCTCGTCAAAAGCTCGTCAAAAGCTCGCGCAAAGCTCGCCCAAAACTCGCTGAGCGGGCGCTTCCCTGGTTTCCCTAGCTCCTTGAGTTTCGCTTGAGCTTTCCTTTGAACCTGTGAGTTTTGCTTGGACTTTGCCTTGAACTTTTGAGTGTTGCTTGGACTTGCCTGGTGAGAGGTGAGTTTTGGTTGGACTTTTGAAGTGAGTTTGGACTTTTTTTGTTTTTATTTTTAAGTTATAGATCCCCTTGTCTTATCTAGCTATTTTACATCATAAAGAGAGCGTGAGTCGTACGAGATTCCTAACACCTTCTCTTCCTGAGCAAGTTCCGCTTTTGTTCGACAACGACCCAGGCGGTCACACATCTGGAAAATTTCAATATCCGTACTTCTATCGAAGCCGGTCCACGCACTGATCTCTACGAAGTACGAATTATGTTCCACAAGTTGACTGTTGGATTTCAAAACATTCTTGCATAAAATGCATGGCCGTAAGCCTGCGCTGCCTTTGACTGAAAAACCAGCTCTGACAGCATCCAAGTCACCAAGAAAGAATGCTTTCTGCTGGTGACGTATCATCAAGTCAGGGTGGGCCAAGAAACCAGCTGTGAATTCTGCATTGGTAATTTGTTCCACCATGTGACAAAGGAGTCTTGAAACACCACCCTGCAAAGTGTTGATGCATTGGCTTTGGACGCAGGCGAGAGGTATCCAAAGGGCCTCATGCTTCAGAAGGTGCCAGGTCTCAAGATAGCCCAGGTAGAACAGGCAACTTTTTCGAGATTTGTCAGCAGATAGAACATTACCGGCTGTACACTCATCACAGTACAACACTGGCGTCAGGTATCCGGTCCCTTGCGCTGCTTTCACCAACGCTTCCCTGTACGACAGAGAGTCCGAACACAGCTTCTCCAAACACTTGCGTAGATTGACCATATGGATTCTCTGCTCGTTATCATCATGAGTAGCAAACTTGATAGGTTCAGTCACTTGCTTCCAGGGTCCAAGCTCTTCCTCTACCACATCTGTGAAGCAACCTCTTGAAATGCGCTCGTCTTCATCGTGGAAAACATTCCACAACTCACGTACTGCTCATTCTGAGGCACCAGGAACTGCCAGGCCGCGCGCCAATTTGCTTCGGGCATCTTGCGGCAAAACACGCTTTGGCATTGCGAGCGTAAAGTCAGAAACCTTACATCTTCAAATCTGTTTCCTGCCCAGGTAGGTGACTGGCTAGAGTTCCGCCGCAATAAATTCACATGCTTTTGATTGGCTCTATGCCGCTGAAGAACATGTGCCAAAGTCAGACAATATATAGATCTGGGCCTTGAGAAAGCAGCAAAGACAAAGTATGTTTAACTTAACACTCAATTGGCGAGGATAAACAAGGGTCGCTCCAGCGAACACACGGCTTCAATAGCGGGAAGTATAGCAGAAAACAAGAGTAATTTTTCTGTATCTCTATATATAGATCTACATTTATCTGTCAGTATGTCACATGTACCTTGCAACAAAGCGGACACACCGCTGCAAGTGAGTTAAACAATTTCAATGTGGCACTTTTGAACTTCTGCTGGCATATGCGCCTAAGTAACGCACCAACATCGATCTGACTTGCAGATTAGGATGGCAGACCTGAATGTCTGTCACACAGAAATTAAAGGTTGGATTCATCAGGCGCCTCCAGCCTTGCCCTTGGGCGCAGCCTTGGCCTTGGCGGCCTTTTTGGGCTTAGGCGGGTTGGCGGCTCTCTTGGCTGCAAGATCTGTACTAAAGGCAGTGCGAGCATCCTTCATGGCAGTTTGCGCAGCCTTGATGGTCTCCATCATCTCCGAAACCTGATCAGTTGATAGATCCAAGGTAATTTATTTATGGATGGGACTCCACCTTCAAAAAAGACAACACGTTTCCCAACGAGAAAGCCTCTGGCAGTTCCGCAGGGTCCGAAGAAGCACGGGTCTCATTGGTTTGTTTTTGGAAGCATTTGAGGTGTTTGACATTGCAAGTGCCCGAGCGTTCAAAAAGGCACAACTACGGTGGTTTGCGGAGATCTATGGAGCGTTTTCCATGTTTTTGGAATCCCCTAAATGCCGAGTCTTCCAAAAATATAGAGACAACTGCGAAGATGATGGGGCCCGATCTGGGAATATTAACGCGTGTCAACATGTGTCAACGCACAACAAATGCATACCGCCGGCTTCTATGTATAGCATTTTCCTGCCTGAATGTGCAGCCTTGTAACTTGACACACAGCATTCAAAAGCGCCCAACTACTCGGTATGCGCGCCATAGATGGCCGTGTGCTTCTGCGCTCTTCTACGCGCGTGATTCGTTGTATTCAACATTTGCAGGGGCGCTGGTGAGAAATTGGAAGGTCTGAAGTGCGTATTGGAACACGGTTCCTGATTGGGGAGAAGAAAGATGTGTTCAAAACGCCTCAGAAATACAGACAGTTCAACGCTAACACTTCACAACCCCAGAAACTAACGACGCCTCGGTGTTTTTTTCACGTCTTCAGGAGTCGTTCAAGCACTATATAGAGAAACCAAAGAATCCAAGCCGATAACATCAACGGAAAAAAGTCATTCAGGGTATCCGGAAATAAAAACCAATTGTTTTATTGAACGTCTCAACAGCGACACTAAACAAAGGGAAACCAAACTGCTCAACACAACTCCCTCACAGAGTTGCATATCTATATCATGAGACAAAAACTGCAGTGCAATACCGATGATCAACCCACCAAACAAAGCTGTGAGGCCTCACTGACACCGTTCAGAACCCATAATCATAATGTAACCATCCATAGCCCATAACATCATTACGTCATTACCCACCCACCCCACGCCACCCATGTATGCGTGTGTGTTTGTGGTATCACGGTGAAGCGCATGTGTGCGTACGAAGCGAAAACAAAATAGGAAAGGACAAAATGAAAAAAAAACGCCACGGCCGTCTATGACGCGTGCTCCAACTACTCACACCTGAGGTGATGTAGACAACTTTTAGGTGCCTGTAGTGGCATTTAGGCGCAGATGGTTTTCACCTAAGGCGCCCGCATTCTGTGTGAAAGCGGCATGTTCTTTGAAAGACACTCTGTCATTTTGAAGATAGAGAAACGATATATTCCTTAAAGGCAAGCACGTTGTTTAGGTTTTGAAAGAGAGGTTTACGATGAGGCTCATCTAGCCTGAACCGGGTGTCCTCCAAATAGCAAGTGGGTGTCCAAATTTCTACCCGTCCGGTAAACTCCAAAGCACAAGCTGGCAGCTTTTTGCACAGACTCGCAGCATTTGCTGCATTTTGCAAACAATCAGCACTTGCACGCATCACGTGGCATCCCATTCAAAACCGTAATGATAGCAAATAGCACCAAGTTCAATTGCCAGGCTCCATGCGCGCATTGCAATCAAGCCTGCTGGTCAAAATGTTGAATCTTCGCTTATGCTATTTTTCACTTTGATCTTCCATGTGACGCGATATTGTCCCCCCGCTACCACATCGCCTCAACAAGCCGCGGTTCAAAGAATCACGAAGCTTCAAGGCAACCTTCAACGGACGCGACCGTTTTAATCGAACAACTCACCTCGTCCTAAAGCCCCTCCAGAAGCTTAAAGCTTCAAGAAGCACACACCACAAACTCAAACAGGTTGTGGCTGCCAGTAAACTGGCAAACCGGCTGCCAGCTAGCTGGCAGTCAAATAGCCTACTAAGGTCAAGCGCGCCCAGCTCAAAAGCCCGGCCCTTCTGCTTTGGTCTTTGTTGGAAACTGAGGTGTCCTTACTGAACCAACACAGTTTAACAGTAAAACCGTGACAAGTCCTTTATGCCAAACGGTTTTGCAACACTTAATTACTCCAAGTGCAAAGCGGTTGGACCCTAGGTCTACCAAGTGTTCGAGGCTTTCCTGGCCAAAAAGATTTGGCTGGCTAAATTTTGATAGGCTTTCCTGGCCAAATGGATTTGGCTGGTCAAATTGCGACGGGTTTTCCCGGCCAAATGGAGTTGGTTGGTCCAATTGCGACGGGTTTTAAAACAACATCGCATTTTTGGTAGCCAAAGCCATTTGGCTGAGTGGTTAGAAAACCCATCACGACCTGGAAGCTTGACTGGCCCCAGAAAAGCGATGGATTTTGCAAAAAACCATCACAATTCCATAGGTTTTGGAAAAAACAATCACATTTGGAAGATTTTTGAAGTTCGGGGTGAGCTGGAAAGTCTGACGGGTTTCCATTTTCCTTACTTAATTGCAACGGTAAAAAACAATCACATTTTAGGGTTGGGGCCCGCGTCTGAAACGTGACGGGTTTTCCTGGCCAAATCAATTTGGCTGGTAAAATTGCGACGGGTTTTCCGTCTCCAACCCATTCATTCCTGCAAGGCCCCATTGATCGAGCTTGGCTGGGCGCAAGGCACTGAAGCTTCGGGCGCACATTGCACCTACAAGCTTCAGGTGTTTGCATCCGACTGCTCCAAGCATAATCTTCCAATCCAAAATCGTTGAGCCTCAGCTCCTGAGCACCAATACAAGGTAAATGTCAAACCGAGAAAGTTTCACGCGTCCAAGCTGGGCATATTGAGCAATCAGCATATAAGCGCAGTGGTTGGTGCTT